AAAAAAAAAAAAAAAAAAAAAAAAAAAAAAAAAAAAAGAATCTTAAAAACATTGACAGTCAGAGCAGACTCATTTTTCTACTCATCCCCCAAATATCTGTTGAGCATCTGCTATGCCAGGTCAGGAGCTGCCATGAACAGACCAACACGACCGCTGGGGTCGTGGAGCCAACAGCCCAGTGGGGGAGACAGCAAGCAAACACCCGAGTGAGCGGACACACCAGCAAGAGACCTGGCTGCAAGAATGGGGGGTGTGCGGAGAGTCGCCGCAGAGTGGGATGCCTGACAGCGGCGGGGGCTACCATGTGCTGGGTGGCCAGGGAGGGCCTCCCAAGGAGGGGACAGTGGAGCTTCATAAGAGCAAGCCAGTCAAGCAGGGACTGGAGGGAGAGGGTGTGGGCTCCAGGGAGCACAAAGAGCTGGTGCAGACAGAACTTGGCACCTGCCGGGGGGAAGCAAGGAGGCCATCGTGCCTGGAGCCAGCAAGCAACAGGGAGGGGGCCTGCAGGGAGCAGTGAGGGGACTGCTCTGATCACAGACCAGAGTGGGGGAGTGGAGGTGATGGCCGGTCCAGTACCCCTGCCACCCCTTCTAACAGCTGAAAACATGAGCTCAGGGAGGGAAGGAAGCTGCTATTTATTGAGCAACTACCCCACATTGGGAGCTTCCTAAACAGTGTCATTTTACACACGAGGCCAGTGAATGGTGAAGTCACCTGCCCAAGAACATGGAGCCAGAGGTGGGCAGGCAGATGGAGTCTACACCTGGTGAAGCTCCTGCCAAAGTCACCCCACACTGGAATGACCACTGGAAAGCCAGGCTGCCATAAACCTTGGTTCTGGCACTTAGAAGCCCTGTGACCTGCACCAAGGGCCTTCTCCTCCTCTGTGCCTCAGTTTCCTAATCTGTAAAACAGGGGTAATAATAGTACCTACTTCAAATAGGTGAGGATGAAATGAGCTCATTTATATAAAGTGCTTAGAAGAGTGCCTGACACCAGCATGCACTGGACGATGTGCTTATGTTGTTATTGGCACGTATGTCAACAGCGGGGTCAAGTTGAGACACTAGGTCACCAGCCTCCCCGTGTGGTGTTCCTCTTGTTCACGGACGACAGGAGGCCTAGCTTGTGGAAGGTGCAGGTGCATCAGTCAGAGCGCTGCTGGGAAGAGAGGAGGCTTACCTTGGGCCCCCTGCCCACTCCTTGCTGGGTGGGGACTGGTTGGAGGGATCACAGGCCCCTGTAGAATAGCTCCAGGCTCTTTCTAATGTCTGCCTCAGGCCAGGGCTCCCACTCTTCAGTCACTCTCTGCTCCCCTTATCACAGGGCCCACCTTCAGCTGTCCAGCCCAAGGATCAGGGGCCACCCATAGCCCTCAACTTATCCCACCCACAATCACCTTAAGATGGGCAGGCAGAGCTCACCAGCCCCAAGCTACAGATGAGGAGGCTGAAGGGCAGCTAGGTGCCCAAGGGCACAGCAAGGCCAAGACAGGGTGGTCCACCCTTGCCCCCCACCTCCCAGCCCCTGCCCCTGGGGCCCGGGTGCGTCGCCTCAGCACAGGGCACAGGCAGCTTCATAACTTCCCAGACAGACACACAAAGGGTTAAACCCAGACTCCCTCTCTCCTCCATCCCAATTCTGGTCCTTGCTGACTCTGCTTCCCCTCCCTACCCCCAGCTATTCTGGGACAATGGAGGCAGCAGATGGCCCGAGTCCTGCTCCCTCCACCCGACCCTCAGGAGCTGGGAACAACCCGAAAATCGAAAATGTGCTGCTGCTTCTAAAAGCAGGCCTTCCCCATGCGTGCGTGCTGGGCAGGGAGGACAGCCACCACGGATGGCTCCATTCCATCCCCCACCAGGCTGCAGGGCTAGGAGTCGCCCTCGCACAGCTCACATCCCACGAACCCAGCATTAGGTCAGCCCAGACAGAAAGGAGGCTTTGGAAGAGCTTGAGCAGCCAGGCCCAAAACCTGATGTGCTTTGTGACCACACGCATAGGGCAGTCCCTCTCTGGGACTCAGGCTCCTCCTTGGAAGACAAGGAGCTCAGGTCCAGGTGCTCAGTGGTTCCAGACATCTCAGACCCAGATGTGGCAGAACAAGGCTTGTGGTTCTTCAAGAGTGGAGGACGTGTTCCAAAGGACCCCCCAGGCCTGGCTGCCTGGGTCGAGCCCCTGCAGCCCTCAGAATCTCTCCTCTCCTCCCCCATCCCAGAGCCCCACTGTGACCCCAACTCCCAGCATTACTGGGCTTGACGCCTGGTGGGGTGAAGAGACCTTTCTTTCCTAGCTCTGCCCCACCCAGAGCTACCATGCCTGAAGTTCCCCGTGATCACTTTCATTCATTCATCCACCAGTTTTAGGGCCTGAAGTTCTGAGGCACTTGCATTTATTCAGCCTTGGCTTTCTCATTGCCCCTTGGTCCCTTGAGGCTGAACCCCTCAGCTCCTGCTCTCCATTCTGCCTTCCCTGATTCTCTGACCTCCCCTAACCCAGGCCTTGAGGACAGAGAAAAGGAGGAACCAATCCCAGCATGCCAGCGCCTCACAGCGCACACACACTCACATGTGTATACGTCATGTACAAACACGTGTGATGTGGCCACAAATACACATGTGCACCACACGTTCATCCTTATGCACAGAGGCATAGAAGGGTACATGCCACACACACACACACACACCTATGCACACCCTCACACAACATGACACATGCACACACTAATAACAGTCACCTCACTGAGCCCTTCCTCTCTCTGTGCCAGGTTCTTTCTGCCATGCCCTTTACAAACATTATACCATACCACCATAAGTGACCACCATCACCACTGTGACAGGCAGACCCAACACCCTGCCCCAGTCAGGAACAGTTTGGCTGCATGTAACAGAAAACTGGACCAAGAGAGACATAAACAAATAAGGGTTTAATTTTCTTACAGAACCAGATGCTGGAGGGGATAGCTGTGGGTGATTGTCTTGGCATTTCCTTGCCCCAGACCCAGCCATCACACCCACATTCAGAGCAGGAAGATGGGGTATGGGACTGCAAAACCATCCCCAGAAACTTCTCTGTTAGTTTTGCTTAGTTCCCTCTGGCCAGAGCTGGGTCACACGGTGGCCCCTAACAGCAAGGGAGGCCGAGAAAGTAAGTGAAAGGGTCGCCATGACTGGCTGGGACCCATTATGATCCTTCACTGCGTCTGGGCATGCTGAGGCTCCGAACGAAATCTGACCCTGTTAATGAGGGCTGGGGAGCAACGACCTCCTGCTCCTGGAGACGTCAGCAACAACAGGATCTGTCACAGACTTTGCCATTAGTCCGCCCGGGTCCCTTGAGTGATTGGAGATCCAGCCTCTCTGGCCATTTCCTGGTGCACTTGGTCCCTGGGCTGTTCAGTTCACCTCCCAGGGTCCTTGGATGCCTTCAAAGCCAGCTACCATCCAGATCCTGGTCTTGCCCACCACCCAGAGGCCCTGCCAGGGACTGCCTACCACAGGGCACTTGCCAGGGCCCTAGTGCTGCCTTGGGAGGTGAGGGACAGCCAGAAGCCTCAGCCCCTGCAGTTCAGGACTCATCGGGCAACCAGCTGTGGACACCAGGGCGTTTCTGGGTAGAGGAGACAATGAAGGGAGCGAAACCTGCAGAGAGACCAGAAATGGATGAGATGGTCACCCCCACTCCTACCCTTGCCCCACGGGCTCCTAGGGGGCACATGCCACAGAGGTGGTTTGGAAGAGACTTTCTCCACCTCAGCACTATTAATATTTGGTGCCAGATAATTCTTTGTTGTCAGAACTGCCCTGTGCATTGTAGGATGTTTAGCAGATCCCTGGCCCTACAGACTAGATGCCAGTAGCATGCCCCCAAGTCATAACAATCAAAAATGCCTGCAGATGTTGCCAAATGTCCCCTGGGGGGCAAAATCAGCCCTGGTTGAGAACCACTGGTTTAGAGAAATTTCAAAAGCCAGAGAAGGCATAAAGAGACTTCAACTGGGACCAGATCATCTGACCACATGTGTTTAAGTCTCCACGTGGCTCCAACCCCATTAGGCAGGAATCTATGAATTCTAGAATCTTCAAGCTTAGAGGAAATTTAACCTTGATTCTTAAATTTCTTGGCAGGATAGGTATAGTTTACGCCTCTCCACTGGTGGGGAGCTCATCCTGTTAGAAGGCAGCTCCTTTCATCTTAGAATTTTGAATTTTTGTTCCTATGTTGAGCCAAACTCTGGCTCCTTGTGAGGTCCAACTTATTCAACACAGCCCTGGCCCCAGGGCCCTCAGAATAGCGGTGAGCTCTCTGCCCCAGGGCAGGCAGCCCCGCAGAACCTCAGGGCTAGGAGCCCAGGTCCCCCAGGGCTCCCAAACTTCAGGTAAGTCCAAAGTCCAGACAGAACCTGCCGAGGCCTCAGGGAGGTCCTGTGCCTCCTCCCCAGCTGAATGGGACCCACTCTCTCCTCTTCTCCACACTCTGCTTACACTGGCTTCCTTTACTTCCTTGAACAGGTCAACACCTGTCTCCCACCGCCAGGCCTTTGCATATGCTGTCCCCTCCCCCTGGAGCACTCTGCCATCCCCCTCCTCTCCTAGTTACCTCCTGCCAGCCCCTCAGGTCCTACATGTGTCCTACATGTCACCTCCTCAGAGAGGCCTTCCCTGCCCAGCCCCTATCCCCAGCAAACACTCTCCCGTAATGGTGACCTACACTCTTATACTTCCCCTCCATCTCCAGTACAAACCGTGCCCCGGACCCTCATCCCCCAACTGCCAGCCCCTCAGGTCCTACATGTGTCCTACATGTCACCTCCTCAGAGAGGCCTTCCCTGGCCAGCCCCTATCCCCAGCAAACACTCTCCCGTAATGGTGACCTACACTCCTATACTTCCCCTCCATCTCCAGTACAAACCATGCCCCGGACCCTCATCCCCCAGGCCCCTATCCCCAGCAAACACTCTCCCGTAATGGTGACCTACACTCCTATACTTCCCCTCCATCTCCAGTACAAACCATGCCCCGGACCCTCATCCCCCAGGACTCCCTCTGGACGAGAGCTCACCCCATTCCCTTCCCCACCCATTGTCCCTGAGTCCCTGTTCATTCCCCTGAAGGCAGGATCAGGCCTCCTTCCCCAGTTCCCAGGATCTCCGCATGTCACTGACAAGGGGCAGGAATGGAGTAGAGGGGTTGGGGGACAGTCAGGCTGCCCAGAGACAGAACAGATTGCCACAGGAGGAAGGAGCTCCCCGTGGCTGCAGGCGTGCAAGCAGAAGCCAGCCTGTCGCCTGGCAGAGATACTGGGAGGAGATCAAGCATCAGCTCTGGGACTGAACTGTTGGCCCAGGGTCCATGTGCCTCCCCCACTTCTCTCTACCCTGCACCACCACCCCCCCAGCCAGAGGCACAAGGCACCCTCAGCTGGCAGGGCTGTGCAGAAAGGAAGCTGATGCCACAGGCTCTGCTCTAAGTCTGCTCCATGCCAATGGCGGCTGAATTAGGCAGCCCCAGTCTCCCTAAGGCCTGTTTGGGGCAGAACTGGAAGGTGCCATTCCAACCCTCTGTCCACCTAGAAGAACCAGTTAAGAGTATCAAAGAAACAAAGAGCTTTAAAAAATAAAATAAAAAATTCCCTGCCAGCGTGTGAAGTTCCACCATAGAGCATCCCCTTCGCTCAGTGAAGACATTTCAGTCTTCCAGGGGCTCCTGAAGAATCCCAGAAGATCAGGGCTGGGGGAGCCCTTCAGATCCACAATGTCCAGCCTCTGTGTGTTACAAATGGGGAGACTGAAGCCCAGAGAGGGCTAGACACTTGTCCAAGATCACACAGCAAGCCAGTGGCAGAGGGGACTGAAATCCACTCCCTCCACAGCTGTCAACCCTCTGGGCCTGTGCTGCCACTTTCCCTTCCGGCTCCCCCATCTTTCGATGCCTGGACTCAGCCCCCACCCCTCCCATCCTACAGTTTCAGCCGACAGACCCACCTGGAGGGGTCCTCCTCAGGGGAGAAGGGGCCCTGTAGCTTAATGACGTTGAGTTTCCCCTCAAAGACACCGTAGCTGAGGGTGACCTGGGCAGGGAGAAGCAGAGAAGAGAGGAAGTGTTGGGGGCGTCCCACTGGGGATCCCCACGAGGGGGCAGCATTTTGGCAGAAGCAGAGAAGGCACAGAAGTCATTTCGAGAGGTGCAGAAAGCCTGTCTCTGCTCCTGAAATCCTGCCATTGGCAATGGGCGCTTCACTAAGCAACCCATCCCACTCCGCAAAGGTACTTTGCAGCTTGCAGAGCACTTTTATGCCCATAAACGCATTTGTCCCCTCAAGAGTTCAGCTTACCTGAGAGGCTGGGACAACACCCCTATCCTACAGATCTGGAAACTGAGCCTCCACAGGGAAGGCACCTTTCCAGTAAGTTGCATGTCTAGACCAGAACTGAGGTTTTCTGAGACTTATTTGGCAAATCCCCTCCCACCTAGAACCACTGCTCCACCATGAAATAAGGACATGGATGATTTCAGCTAAGAGGTAGTTGAGCACAGTGATTAAAGACCGTGGGCTCAGGGGCCATCTAGCAAGGGCTCAAATCCCCCTCTTCCCTATACTAGCTGTGTGCCATGGTTAGTTCAGTTGTCTGGGCCTCAGTTTCTGCATCTGTAGAGTGGGAATAATGTTAGCACTGACCTCATGTGAATATTTTGAGGAACCAGAGAGTTAAAGAAGGTAAGGCCCCCGGCATGGTGTGTGGCATGGTGGGTGCTCAGGAAACCCTAACCTTTAGGGTGCCCTGTTTTATGCTGCCCAAAATCTGCCCCTCTTCCTTGGCTTCAGGCCCCGCAGTCTTAATGAAACTGACCCCACACCCCAGTTCCAGGCCTGGCCAATCAACACTAATTCAGGAGCTGGGAGGAGAGAGATTATGTGACCCAAGCCAGGCCATCAGATCAATGAAGGCCAGCTCTGGGATCTGGAGGAAGGGGGTGCTCTCTTCCAGTGATGGGGTGGAAACCAGGGGCTGCCATCTAACAGCATGAGGGTTGAGCCTGCCTGAGGATGAGCCCAACGCGAGGGACAGCAGGCGAGAGTGGAGACAGTGTCCCAGGACACTGTCTGAACACCTAGACCCAGCCAGACCTAGCAAGCCAGGCCCTCGGCTTCTCAGCTATGTGAGCAAGCCAATACTTTTCCTTTTGTGTTTAGCCAGTCCACATTGAGGTTCTGTCACTTGTACCCAAAAGAGTCTGACTAAGACTGGCAGGTGGAAGATCCCAGCCTGGTTGGGGGTGGCCCTCCCAGCCAGGACCATCTACAGAGTTGGGGGGGTGGCATCTGCAGGGCAGAGCCAGTTTGACCTGTGAGCAGAGTCATTACCTGCCAGGTGGTAGGACGGGGCCCCGTTCCTCCCCCAGCCTAACATGATGGCTGAGTGTCCCCGTAAAGACCTGTGCCTTCCCAGTGACCTCAGGGTAGGAAGAAAAAGCAGTGACCAGTGGACAGGAAAGTTTTGATGAAGGAGAAAAGTCAGAAAGGGCTGGCCTGAAAAAAAATAAAAATAAAAATAAAAGAAATGGCTGGCCTGAAAAAAATAAAAGAAAGAGCTGGCCTGGCCCCTTAGGAGGGATGTGGGGAGGGTGGGAGATTGAAGAGCAGAGAGGGGGACAGGAGGCAGGGGGTGGGGAGCAGGGTGATAGTAATCTGAAGACAGCTTCATCTCATCTGTGCACTTGAGGACCAAAGAACTTCAGCATCCCAACTGCTAAGCTTTGAGGGTTGGAGGTGAAAAGAGCCGAGTCACTGTGTGTCCTTAGGGGGCCCTTTGCCATACTGGGCTTCAATTTCCCCATCAATGGGGTATAGCCAGGCCTCATAATCTAGAGTTCCGGGTTAATTTCAAATACAAGGAGGGAGTGGGTAAAGGACACCCTGTGTTCCTTTAGGGGGACCTGTCCTTCTCCCACCCTCCTCCCCCATTGCCACCTGCCGCAAGGCCAGCTCACCTGTTGCAGGAGCTGGGCAGCCCCCAGCAGTTGCAGGGTCTCCAGGTGGGAGTGGAAGAGGGGGCTGGGCTGCAGGTGTCCGCCCAGCTTGCACTCAATGATGTAGCCCACAGTGCAGTCATCGGGGAGCCGGATGAGAGCAGATGTCTCCACGAAGCGGGAGCCGCTGAGGGACAGAGCTGGACTGTAGCCACTGGCTCAGGCCCTCTACACCTAGAGTTCCCCAGCTTCTACCTCCGCCGGGTCCACCCGGCAGAGCAGAGCTCGGCTCTAGCTTCTGCCTCTGCATGTTGTATGGTCTCAAGCAAGTCCAAACCTTGGGGAGCCTCAGTCTCCTCTGCTGTGAAATGGGATGATAAAGGGCCTGCCTTCATAGAGCTGTCATGAGGACTAAGTGCAGGAATAGCGAGGTGAAGCCCTTTATAAATGTATCCTTTCCTTCTCTTCCTTTCTTTTTATTCATTGTCGAGCTTCAGAATCCACCTGGCACCAGATGCCTTGCTAGGGCTGAGGATACAGAGGAGAGAAAGAAGTGCTGCCTGCCCTCGGCAGCAAAGCCCCTCCTGGGGGCAGACAGAAGGGCGAGCAGGTCGTTCAGAGCAAGACCGGTGCTAAGACAGAGCGAAGCTCGCAGCCTGGGGGGCACAGGGAGAGAGAGGTGGGCTTCCCAGAGGAGGTGGCCTCGGCAGCAAAGCCCCTCCTGGGGGCAGACAGAAGGGCGAGCAGGTCGTTCAGAGCAAGATCGGTGCTAAGACAGAGCGAAGCTCGCAGCCTGGGGGGCACAGGGAGAGAGAGGTGGGCTTCCCAGAGGAGGTGGCTGGTTTTAAATGGAGTCTTATGGATGAGCTGGAGTCAGCCGGTGTTGAGGGAGGGGAGAAGTGTTCCAGACAGGGATATCACCTGACGCACACACCCTGTTAACGCCCCTTCCCAGGACACAGCCATGGCGAATGGGTGCAGTCTCTTCCCCTCCCTAAGCTGTGTGTCCGTGAGCTGCACCTGCAGGGGTAGGCGGGGGGCTTAGTCTATTCCACACAAAGGTAATATAGAGGTGGGCAGAAGCCTGGCTGGGGGCACCCCAGGCACAGGGATGGCCTGGTCATGTGCACATGCCTGCCGTGCATGTCCTAGGACACGCCCTAGGACAACATGCCTACTCCTGCTCCAGCATGAATCCCCCCCACCAGGACACCTCGCATCCAGGGCAAGGCAGGGCAAGCTGGTGTAGTGGCGAAGCACATGAGCCTTGGACCCAAACCCAGCAGCTGGCTGTCCTTGAACTTGGGTGACCTTGGACTTGCTTAACCTCTCAGGGCCTCAGTTTCCTCAGCTGTAGAAACAAGGCTAATACCATCTTCTCCCCCACGTATCATGATCCTCTTGGTGAAGCACAGGCCTGGCTCAGAGTTGACCCTCAATACAAGGAAGTGGCCTCTGATGTTGCTGTTAATGATCATAACAGCCTGCCCAGGAAGACCTCAAGAGGCTAGGCCTTTGCCACTTCTAGAATACCAGGGCACCCCCACCCCCATACTGAGGGCTTCTACTACCCTTAGGATCCCCCTCATCTGGGGTCCTCTAGGGCTGTCCCAGCTCCAATGCCTCTTCCAGGGAGCCTTTCCTCCTGTCCCCAACCAGAAGGCCCTTCTTCCACCTCTCAGAGCCCTATACTTGGCCTTCCCCTCCCCTGTGGCATTGACCAGTCAGAAGAGGGTTGCAAATAGGACCTAATGTTTCCCTGGCTCCTACCAGGTGCCAGCCCTAACACTTCCTCACTTAACCCTCTCAACATACCACTGGTCATTGTATTAGCAGATCCATTTACAGACGGGGGACTGAGGCTCCCGGAGCTGACGCAGCTTGCCGTGTATGATAGGATGCACTAAACCCTGCATCCCTGAGGGCAGGTGGCAGGTGGCTTGCACACCACTAACTGTGCCACTGTGACACAGAATAAAGGAGGGGCAGTTTCTCCTGAGCTCATTCTCAAGCCCTTCCTGCTGCAAAGGCCCCTCATGCACAATGGTAGCCGCCCCCTCCCTGCCCTCCTGCCAGCCCCTGGGTCTCTGCTTACCTGGCCCATGGGGCCATCTTCAAAGCCAGTTTGCGGTTGATGCAGAAGCCAGCGCCCCCGGTGGCAAACCAAAACTGTACCAGCCTCTGGGAGAGAAGAAGGCCAAGGTGCTGGGTGAGCCTTGGGGTGGTGGATGGGGGACAGCCAAGCCACCTGTCACCCCCAACCAGCATGGCTCAAAAGCTCTTTATGTCACATCTCACTAGAGTCTTGGTATAGAATGGCATTAGTATGCTCATTTTATAGATAAAGAAACTGAGGCCCAAAGTCACATAGCTAATCATGAGTGATGAAGTCACCAATCAGACCCAAATCCAACTGGATTCTGGCTAAAGGGGGTGTGTGTCATTTTGTCCACCCAGCACACCTTACCCCCTACCCCTGAGAAATGTCTCTACCTCACTCCATGTGGCTTAGGAGGGACTGCCAGACACAGCACCTGCTCCCCTAGGCCACAGAGGTGGGCAGGTGCCTTGGGAATGATCAATCACAAGACCACATCCCTTGACTCAGTGATTGGTTCAGCAACAGGCACATGACTTAGGCCAACCAATCTAAGTCCTTCCCTGAGCATTATCTACTGACTGTGAGGAAGAGACGCTCTCTACTGGGTCATGAGACTGGGGAGCTACAGTCCTGATGCCACATACACCCAGCCATCTCCACTGGCTTCCCCACTCTCAACTCCTGGGACCAAGAAAGCTTTCTGCAAAAAAAGAGAATGAGGGGCTGGCCTATGGCTCACTTGGGAGAGTGTGGTGCTGGTGACACCAAGGCCACGGGTTCAGATCCCTATATAGGGATGGCCGGTTAGCTCACTTGGGAGAGCGTGGTGCTGACAACACCAAGTCAAGGGTTAGGATCCCCTTACCGGTCATCTTTAAAAAAAAAGAAAAAAAGAGAGAGAGAGAGAGAGAGAGGCCTCTCATGGAGTAAAGAGAGGACAGACAGGCCTGTGAACCAGAGCGTGGTGCTGACAACACCAAGTCAAGGGTTAGGATCCCCTTACCGGTCATCTTTAAAGAAAAAGAAAAAAAGAGAGAGAGAGAGAGTGAGGCCTCTCATGGAGTAAAGAGAGGACAGACAGGCCTGTGAATCCGAGGCCAGCAAACCCCTGGACATCTCACTCACAGGAACAACAACTTCCCTTTGGGGGTTAAACCACTTTCTGCCCCTGCCTGACATCCTCACAGCCCATGGTCTCTTCCCCTCCTCTATGAGGACCCATAAATTCACCCATGAACTTCTCTAAGACGTTTGGGAACCACTATACCCTTTCAGCTGTACCATCTCTTGGTCTAACAAGTTCCCTAAGGTTACCTTCTCCCAAGTACCCAGCTGGTGCTCAATTGATGCATGTTGCATTGGGTTATCTCCAGTGATGCATCTGTGAGAAGAGCTCTGGGTGGGGAGTTAGGAAGCCTGGCTCTGAGGGCCCACCTCCTCCACTGCACTGTGTGACATTGAGAAAGTCACTTCCCCTCTCTGGGCCTCAGATTTGTCACCTGTGAGTTGCATTGGGTTATCTCCAGTGATGCATCTGTGAGAAGAGCTCTGGGTGGGGAGTTAGGAAACCTGGCTCTGAGGGCCCACCTCCTCCACTGCACTGTGTGACGTTGAGAAAGTCACTTCCCCTCTCTGGGCCTCAGATTTGTCACCTGTGGGCACACTATCTGCTCTAGTTCTGAAATCTGATGGTTCTCCTAGCCCAGAGGAGTCCTCCTCCTGACCACTTCTATTAGCCGACCTCTAGAAACGCTGCCCTTTTAGAGAAAGGTCAGGGCTCAGCAAGGCAGAGTGAACATGCTCTCAAGGAAATGACATACAGGAGGTGCTAAGTGCTTATTTAACGAATTAATGAGTGTGTGGCTTCTGCTCCTGGATAATTATAGTAACAACAACAGCAGTAGCAATGCAACTACCTAGCCCTGAGCACTTACTGTGCCAGAAGATGTGCCCAAGGCACAAAGAAGTGAGGTCACTTGCCTGAGGCCCCAGAGCTGGGACTGACCCCAAGCCGGAGCTCCTGCCCCCCTTGCCGTCCCACCCTGGGGGACCCCAGGGTCTGAACAGGCCTGGACACTTTGGGGCTCTGCCACATTCCAGGGCAGAGTCCTGGGGTCCCACTTTGGGGTGTGTAACAAGGAGGGGAACAGGGCCTGGTGTGCACAGTCAGGTGCTGAACCTGCCCGACAAAGACACAGCTCAGAAGCGAAGGCTGAGCTGAGTCAGATGCTGAGTCAGGCACTGATCACTAACACTTAGGAATGTCTATTACATCCCAGGCCTCCTTCCAAGGTCTCAGATAGCTGACCTCATTTCATTCTTTCTTCTAAGGTCATAACCACCCTGTGAGAAGGGGCTGTTTTCACCCATTTCACAGATGAGAAAATGGAGGCACAGAGGTTAGGTGACTTCAATCAAGGTCACAAGGCCAGGAGGTGGCAGGTCTGGCGTGGGAACCCAGGAGTCAGTCTCCAGAGTGGAGTTCTCAACCCTAAAGGCAAACTGATTAAGCAGAGGTGAGTGGGTAGGGACAAAGTGGTGTGGGTGCCTAGGGGGCCCCTTGGCTCACCTGGAAATGCGCGCGTGCACACGCACACACACACGGGGCTCGGGAGGATTTAATTAGGGCTCAGAGGCTGATTAGCTGCTGATAATTAAGACTTTGTATCTTCCATTCTTGTTCTCCCTAATGAAGCAGATGGTGACATGGGAAAGGACAGCAAGCCCCACAGAGTGCCCAGCTCCTGCACCAGGCCCTGCCTCTAGAGAGGGGACCTCCTGACCTGCTTTTCCCTGGGGCCACTCCAACACCTGAAGCCCAGTGGGTCCTGGGGACAAGAGGAGAATCATGTAACATTTGAGACATACTTATACTAAAAAATTCTTCATTGTTTATCTGAAAGTCAAATTTAACTGGGTATCCTGCTTTTCTTGTTTATTTGTTTTCTAGACCTGGCCACCCTCATCTGTGTCCATGCAGGTCTGGAGTTGAAGCTGGTACTGGGGACCCCAGTTGTGCCAAGTGTCCACTCTTCAGTTTCTGGTCAGTGAAGAAGTCTGGAGGGAGGGGTCTACCCAAGGGAGGAGAGTGTTCTGGGGCTCCGAGCAGCAGTAATTTATCACCTGGCCCAGCAGTATTCTAGTACCTGAACTCACTGTGTGACCAGGACAAAGCTCCTGGGTGACTGAGGCCTTGCTATGTGCCCATCTCCATGTCTCACCTGCATTATCTCAACCTCCCCATTTCACAGAGAGGGAAACTGAGGCTCAAAGAGGCGAAGCTACCCGCCCAAACCTGCAGAGGTGGGCCAGATCTGAAACCTACAACCAACCCCCCCCTCCACCACACCCCCAACCCTGGGACAAAAAGGAGGGGGACGCCGACCGTGCGATTGCGGGGCTGCGGCTCAGAGGCGTGGATGGGCCGGTTCAGGCTGGGCCTCCCCACATAGACATCCTGGGCCGGCGGGAAGGTTCTCAGCAGCTGCAGCAGTGCCCTCGGGTTCATATAGTTGTCGTCGTCCACGTGGCAGAACCACCTGTAGGGATGGAGGGAGACAGTGAACTAGTCTTGGGGTAGGGGGATCCGGGGTCGAAGCCAGCCCAGGCTACCAGCCGGCCAGGCTGGCCCCGCGCCTTCACAGCCAGTCAACACGCAGCTTCAGGGCAGGGGTGGGGGTGGCTGACATTAAGGCACCTGTTTTATGCCAGGCAGCCTGTGGTGTAAGCTTGTGAGGAAGGTGTACCCACTCAGCAAATGAAGACCAGGACTCCAAGAGGTTAAGATGCTCACTCAAGGTCTCACGGTCAGTGAATGGCAGAATTTGCACTCAGCCGGGCTGCCCAGTCCAGTGCACGCAACCTGCTAGGTAGGTGGTGGCTGGAGTCAGACCCCAGGAGACCCAGGGGTTATATTCATTGTGTCCAGAGCATGTCACTGTTTTCTGACACAGCACTGAGGTAGCCTGAGGCAAAGGCCACTTCTACCCCCAGAGACCCAGAAACACTCACCTAAGCCCACTGGCCAAGAAGGCATCAAACTCAGCAGCCGTCTTGCAGGACAGAGCTGGGTGGCTGTGCTCCGCGGAGCAGTTGGTGACCACAAGGTGGGACCCTGGAGAAGCGAGGAGGAGTCAGGGGAGCCTGCCCAGCTCCCCCCACAGCCCTGAACATTGTGAGCACACAGAGCAAGGCTGGCCTCAGAGAGCCTGGAGCGGCCCACCACTCCTGTGTCACACACAGCAAAACTGAGGCCCAGGGAGAGCTGACCTGCCCAGGACCACAGAGCTAGAGGACAGTTGGCTGGGCTGGGACCCAGGTGTCCAGGGCCTTGTCCAGCACAGCTCCTGCCCATACCCACACCCACACTCATTTCCAGGGAGGAAGCCTGCTCCCCTCCTAGGCAAAGGGAAATCCCCACATGGCAAAGATAGACAGCCCTGTTTCCTGCGATCCCCCAGGCCAGGGTACAGCCACCCCAGCTTTCTCTGGCAACAGCCAACATCCCCCACCCAGACCAGGCAGAGTTACCCAGTCTCTCCTGGAGGCCTTCATCTGGTCTGTCGGTGAAGATGAATGTCTAGAAAGAAGAAAGAGGGGTCAGGACTCAGGTCAGCCAACGGTAGCCCCAGGCCAGTCTGCAGCACACCCCAGCTGAGCCCCAGATAACCACCCATCCAAGTGGACACACAGAGCAAGCTCTGTCCTCCTCCAGTGACAGACACTTACCCCTCTCACGGTCACATGCTCCTTTAGGACAATATACAACACACACACACACACACACACCCTTGCACCACCAGTTTTTGCAGACACACAACTTCAGGGTGTGCACAAGCCCACAGTCTCACACACACCCATCCCCTTACAGAGCAGCACCCACAGGGACCCAGCCATAGTCACGCCCCCTCGGTGGAATCACACCCTCTTCTATCACACACACAGACACACACTCGCTCAAGCCACAGTCACTCACTCACTTCTCAGTCACATATACACAACCCTAGACCTTTTGTCAGGAGACAGACTCTGTGAAAAGACCCACACACCCACACCCTGGGACACACCACTTAGGGAGACGGTCACACTCTCGCAGTCACGCAAACCCACTGTACAAGTGCTGAGGCCCGTAAGCATCTCCGAAAGTCTGCATCAGAGCCCAATCCGGCTCTCCCAGATCGGACATGCATGCCACCAGGAGCTCCCCCATGACCCTCTCTAAATCTCATGAGGCAGGTGTGGTGATCTGTCCCCTTCACAGATGACAAAACTGAGGCCAAGCGATGGACCGAGGTTGGCAAGTGCCAAGCTGGGATTCCAACCCATGAGCCTTGGACCTCTTCTCGCCACCTCCAGGGCAGGTGGAAGCCACGCAGCCCCTAAATAAACCAAGCACAAACTTATGAGAGGCAGAGACAAGGCCTCCAGAGCAGGAGGTGGGCAAGACAGAGACATGCCCATCCAGGGGCATGTCCAGCACCCATTCCATGCCCAGCCCAGCATGTGCAGAGCTTCTCTTCTGCCCAAGCAGGTCGTCTAGTCCACCAAGCACCCTGAGGGCCAGTGAGGGCTTCTCTGTCCTGTGAGATGTCCTGCCAAGAACTGGGACAATTTTGAACCCCTTCAAAGTGAGGACCAAGGAGAAAGTGTCCCACCTTGTTTAAAGCCCCTCAACTCCCTCATCCCACTCAGGCCACACCTAGCCTAGCCCTGTCCTCCCACCAAGCTCGGGGCCTCCAGCTGCAATGCCCCTCTCTGCTCACCCGTGTACCTCTCCCTCCTTTCCAGGAATTAGTCCTTCAGATCAGAACAGGCCCTGCCTTAAGCCTCAGTTTACCCATCTGTAAAGTGGGGGAGAGTAGTGGCTGTGAGAGTGAAATAAGATCATGTATAAAAAGGGGCCAGACCATGGCTCACTCGGGAAAGTGCAGTGCTGATAACACCAAGGCCACAGGTTTGGATCCCATATAGGGATGGCCGGTTCGCTCACTGGCTGAGCGTGGTGCTGACAACACCAAGTCAAGGGTTGAGATCCCCTTACCGGTCATCTTTAAAAAAAAAAAGATCATGTGTAAAAGAACAAGGAAGGGTTGACAGTCATACGGCATCTTGTACTCCAGGGGAAACTGAGGCATGGGAGCCCCGGAGGCCAGAAGCCAGGGTTGGGCACAGAAAGGAGCAAGAGGGAATCAAGCCTGTCTCCAAAGGCCCACAGCCACAGGCCTGCTCCTGAGCCCCTGCCAGCTCACAGTGGGTTATTGCAAGACTGCCGCATTCGCTCAGTTCTGTTTTCCTGTCAGCACCAGAATCAGATAGCACCCATACCCAGCGCTACCACCCTCCCACTAACACAGTCTGTGGCTCCTTACTATTCTTGGGATAAAGGCCAGCCTCCTAAATGTGGCAGCCTTATCTCATGACTTCCTGCCCCACCCCCGGGGACTCTCTTAGCCCGAATTTCTTTCGGTTCCCCAATGTGCTGCACACACTCACACGCCCTTGAGCCTTTGCACAGCTCTGCCCTGTCCCAGCCTCTAACCCCCAGCGCAGACATGGCCTCCTCCAGGAAGCCTCCCCGACACCCTGCCAGCTATTTTAGGGACCCCTCCTAAGTGTTCCTCACCCCGTTCCTCCTTATGGTAACAGCAATCCCTTTGGTAATGGAAATTTTTCTCTTGGTCTCTCCCCCCAGACAATGGCATCCTGGAGGCCCAGGACTGGTCCAGTTCATTTCCTTGTCCTGACACGTGGCTCTCCTCAGGGAGGCCTGGACAGGGCCCACCTTCTGAGCCTCTCTCCCTAGGGTCTGTCTCCCACCATCAGATTTAGCTAACACTGGGGGCCCCTGGAATTTCATGGGGTGAATGTTGGAGGCCCAAGCCCAGCCCTGGTCCTCTTCTCCATCTCGCCCCGTCCCTCAGTGATGCCATCACCAGAAAGCTGGAGACTTTCACGTTCACACCTCCATCCCCGGCCTCTCCCCCGAGCTCCAAGCTCTCAAATCCCTGCAGCCATGACATCTCCCCCAAGGGGCTTAATGCACCAAGACTGAGCCCCCCACTCCCCCAAGAACTGTTCCTCCCTCCCAGCTCTGCCTTCCCACTTGCTGGGACCCTGGAGTCACCCCCGCCTTCTCCCTTTCTCTCCCGCCTCAAATCCAGTCTGTCAGCAAATTCTGTCCTCCCTGCCTTCAGATTATCCGAGATTCGGCCTCAACCCTCCAGCCTCCACAGCCACCCCTGGTCCAGCCACCATGGTCACCTCCTGTCTGCCTTGCTACAATCGCCTCTTCCCTGGCCTCCCTGCCTGGTCCTGCCCCCACCAAGTCTGTTCCCAACACAGCCTCGAAGGATACTGTAAAAGAAGTCAGGCTTTTCTTGCCCTACTCTCTGGCAAACTTGTGCCACCAAACAGCCACCAGATAATTGAGCTCTCTTGAGTTTGTAGCATGGGCCAAATGGGCTAGGGAATGTTTGCTGATGAAGAACTAGTAAGCCCAAATAAAGCAGCGGGGAGCGGGGGGAGGCCAGAACCGGGGCAGGTGGTTTCAGTCCCTGGGAATCCTGAGGTTGGCACAGAGCGATGGGAAGTTTCCTCTGAGCCGAGGGCTGCATTTAATTTGTTTAAGGAGGGGACCCTGACAATGGTTAAAACTTCACAGGCGTCAGGAAAACAAAGGGACAAGCAGTCTGCTGGGCAGGGGAGGGGGTGGCTGGGGACCATCTGCTGCAGAGAAGGGGAGATGTGGGGCTGCTGCCACCTCCCCTCCACAGCCCCTCTGCTCCCCGCCCATGAGGGGACTGTAGGGAAGAGAAAGAATCCCTGCAAGCATAAAACACTCCTCCCCCTGCCCACCCCCTCCGGGGGACAAAGGCCGGCACATGAGCCCCAGCCCTTCAGCCCGGGCCACAAAAGCCCACCTGCCACCCGACCGCCCTTAACTAGCCTTAACAAGCCGAGACAGAAGCCCAGCACTGGAGTTAACCAGCTCAGGCCCATTCCAGACACTCCTGTCCTGTGCAGATGGGGAAACTGAGGGCCAAAAGGGGGAGGGCCTTGACCAAGGTAACAGAAAGAAATGAGCCAAAGGGTGAGAGATGATGGGATGGCGAGACTGGGTCTCCCTGTCCCCCCAGCCCTTCCTCCATCTGAGCATCTTTTCTCCTTTCAACTTAAAGGACAAGATTTCTAGATTCTGCCCTTGCTCTAGGGTCCAACTGAGTGAATTCATCTCCTACCTCTACATATCCACTCAGTTTCCTTACTCGGGTTGCTGTGAAGTTAAGTGAATGGACACATGCAATATGCAGTCCCTCAGAGGTAAGCCGCTGGCAGGCATTCCCACCCCCAACCCTGGCGACTGCCAGGCACAGCCTCCCAGGTGAAGGCCCCAGGACCCTCTCCTGTAGCCCAGTGACTCAGGCAGCTCTAGGCTCCCAGGCCTCAGCTGAGAGAGAGGCACCCAGCTGGAAGGTACACAGCCTCCCAGGTGAAGGCCCCAGGACCCTCTCCTGTAGCCCAGTGACTCAGGCAGCTCTGGGCTCCCAGGCCTCAGCTGAGAGAGAGGCACCCAGCTGGAAGGTGGAGTCTGGGTCCCTCTGGCCTCTGCCCCCTCAGGCCTTCTGGGTGACCCTGGTGAGCGTGGCCCCCTCTCTGGCCTCAGTTTCCTCATCCGGAGCAAGGGCACCATTATGGTGATCAAGACAGGAAAGGTCCTCAGACCACGTGAGGCCACACTCCCGGGTACACACAGACACAGAGCTGTAAACAGGAAGGTCTGCAGGGAGGACCAGCCTTGGTGGCTTCCGCAGACAAAACCAGGATCTCTCTAGGATGAGAAGCTGTGTGGGGGCCCAGGGAAGAGCTGGGCTGCTGGGGGCACAGCTGGGAAAGGGTTGATCTCAGGTGCAAGGGTTTTGGTGCCAGGAAATCAGGGCAGGGTGCCCCCCAGGGGCCTTGGCCTCTTCCAGGAATCACCTCCCCCTCTCTTTGGTCTCCCAGGAGCCCTCAACGCCTCTAAAGGCTCAGTCACTTCCTCCCACTGAGCCAGCCACCAAAGTGGAGACAGGGTGTGTACGCACATGTGCGTGTGTGTGAATCCGCCCTCCACCTCCCCCAGAGATGGTCCCCAAAACCCCCAAATCACTGGGTTTGCTTGAGGGGGTCACTGGGTGCTGGGAAGGCAGGGCTGGAAGGGACACAGCGTGTCTATGCTGCCTCCCCTAAAAGACATAAGCCAGGCACCTGTGTCACCCACACGCCCTTTGTCATAGCATGTCTAACACTCACACTTGGGCTCCATGTGTGTGAGCACATGCACACACATGCACGCGCCCGCGCACGCACACAGTCCCACACGCCAGGCAGGCCTCCCCCAGCTTCTTGCCCACCACTGCCTCAGCTTCCTCCCTTGGAGGCAGCGCAACAGGAAACCAGCACAGGAGGTGAGATGCCGGGCCCCATGGCTCAGGGCTCATCCTCAGCAGCAGAGACCTGGGGGGCAGGGGCTGCCCACGCCTCTGCTGCCTCCCCCTAGACAGGCGCCACCTGGACGTTCTCCTGCCTCAGCTGCCCAGTCCCCCCACCCTCCTCCCTCAGAGTCAGGCCTGGATGCAGGTCGGGGTCTGGGCCACTCAGAAGAGGACTCCAGCCCAGCTGCCCAGCACCCACCAATGCCCCCCATGCCAGGCTGGGCCGGGTGGGCAGGAGTGAAGCCCCCACTGGAGTGGCCAGGGAATAGAGGGACCCCAGAAGGCACCCAGGAGCTAGGGCAGGGGCCCAGCCTGGCCCCCAGAAGAGGTGGAGCTGTGGCCCAGAGAAGCTCCTGGAGACAGCCCCTGAGGCCCGGGAGGAAGGAGGAATGGAAAGATGTTTGCAGAGCAGGCAGGTGGTGGGCGGCTTCTCCCTTGAGGCAGCCAGGGACCCCAGCCTGCATAAGCCCCTCGGGCCGGGGGTCACTCCCAGAGTCAGTGTCGCCCACTTGTCACCTGTTCCCTGGTCCTGGAGACCCACGTGTCGAGCAGCAGCTCCAGGCGCGAGTGGTGGAAGGCCCGGGTGGTCTTGACTGCAATGAAGACATCATGCAGCTGCAGCTCACGGGACCCCAGACTTGGCGGGCTCAGCTCAGGGGTCTCCCGCACCCCCTGGGGGGACAGACTCGAGTGGTACCGTAGCGACAGGAGCCCCATGCACAGGAGGGCAAGGAGGGCGCCGGCCAGGCCCCGAAGGAACCGGTACTGCATCGGCTCTGGGACCCCAGACAGCTCAGCCCCCAAATCCCCACCGGACCCGGAGGGGGAGGGCACGGTGGTCAGGCGGGAGTCCCGGCTGAGGCGAAAGTCTGGCAGGCATCAGGGATAGGCAGGGAGGGGAGAGATGGGAGCTGGGGCTCTGCACGCGGAGGCTGAGCCATGGCAGCCCGCCGCCAGCCCTCCACCTGCTCTCGCTGCCCTCCCCGCGGCCGGCTCTGGGGCTGCCGGGCCCCGCCCCCGCCTCAGTCTGAGGGGCGGGGCCAGACACAGGGTGCCCCGGAGCTGGCTGGAAAGGAGGCACGGGCTGGAGGGGCAGCTGGGCTCTGCCAGCTGCTGCCGTGGGGGTGGAGGCAACAACCCTCCATGCCTGATGGAAGGGAGGGGCTCTCCAGCCTTCCCACTCCCCAGAGACCTGTCAGCCTGGCTCTTTTTTTTTTTTAAAGATGACCGGTAAGGGGATCTTAACCCTTGACTTGGTGTTGTCAGCACCACGCTCGCCCAAGTGAGCTAAGCGGCCATCCCTGTATGGGATCCGAACCCGTGGCCTTGGTGTTATCAGCACCACGCTCTCCCAAGTGAGCCACCGGCCGGCCCAGCCTGGCTCTTTCAACACCCATTATTTTGCAGTGTCCTGGTGTGTCCAGCCTCCCGGCTTTCGCTCACACTGGTTCTCCTCCTGGATACTCTCCCCTTCTCCCCATCCTCACCCATGTTTTCTCCTCCAGGCTGAATTCTGTATTGACTTGAAGGCTCAGCTCAATGGTTCCCTCCTCTAGGAAGCCGTCCCTGGTAGCCCCTCCCAACCCCAGGACTCCCACAGTGGTTTGCTCAGTTCGTTTGGTCTTCACAGGGGCTCTGGGACTGTCATTCCATTTATACCTGAGGACGTAAGGCACAGAGGCACAGAAACGATCAACCAAGATCCAGAAACTCAGCCCCAGAGCCTGGAGAAATCCAGGGATCTGGTCCTCATCTGGTCCACAGGAGGCCCCCTGAGGGTATCTATCTGGCTGTGGCCCATTCCGTGCCCCATCTCACTTGCCAGTCTCTTTAGCTGACTTTCTCTCAGCCAGCCCAGTGTACAGAGGGCCTTCTCCAGCCACCTCCTCCATCCTGTTTTGCACAAGGTCACTCACATCTCCTCCCTCCTCTGCTCAAACCCTGCACTGGCTCCCATCTCTTTCAGAACAAAAGCCAAAGAACATGCACCAGCCTACAAGGCCCGGTGGGAGCTGGCCCCCCGTTCCTCCCACTCCGTCTCCTACTACTCTCCCCTTGCTCCCTCCACTCTGGACCCGCTGGGCTCCTGGCCTGTCCAGGCACACGCCTACCTCAAGACCTCCCCACCTGCTGTTCTGCCCGGGCACTCCTTCCCTAGCGATCTGCATGTCTCACTCCCTCACTTCCTGAGGGTCTTTACACAAATGTCACCTTATCCCAAAGCCTTCCCTGCCCACTTTATTTATATTGCAACCCCTCTCCCCCTCCTTCCCAGTGCCCCAGGCCTGTCCCTGCCAGGACCCCTTCTCTGCTGTGTTTCCTCCATGGCACTTTCCATCTTCCAGCATCCTGTATATTTTACTTATTTATTGTCTGCCTGCCTCGTGAGACTATCAGGGCAGGAATTTCTTCTTTTTTAACCACTAAATCCGCAATCCCCGGTGCCTAGAACAATGCCTGGCACATAATAGGAGCTCAATAAATATTTGCTAATTAAACACAAGAAAGTATCAGATGGCTGGTGAATTGAACTAGGCCTGCTGTGGCCCAACCCTGCTTTAGGACAGTGGGGGACAGGAAAGGAAAACCAACGGTTTTGAATCACCCTTCTATTTGCCAGCACCCAGCCAGACCCCTTCACAGCCTGTGTCTCACCAAGGGCAATCCCAGATTTTATGCCCTACTGACCAGGGTTCAAATCCTGACTGGGCCACTCACTGGCTGTGTGGCTCTAGGCAAGTTACTTTCATCATTTGTAAAATGGGAACAAAAATATGATTTAGTGACAATTAAAGGATAAGTGGGCTTTTCCACGCATGGAATGGACACCTAAGAGGGGAGCAGAAAAGGCAGCAGAGCCCCTGGGCCGTGGCATTTCACCCGGACTCCTATGTCCATAGACTGAGCACTGGGACAGGCACGCAGCAAATCGGGGGGTGGGGAGTTGTTTACCCAAATAAGCGAATGGACACCTAAGAGGGGAGCAGAAAAGGCAGCAGAGCCCCTGGGCCGTGGCATTTCACCCAGACTCCTATGTCCATAGACTGAGCACTGGGACAGGCACGCAGCAAATTGGGGGGTGGGGAGTTGTTTACCCAAATAAGCGTGACCTGGTCCCCACACCCAGGAAGCCACACAGAGACAACCACACAGACCCACCATCCTGCCACAAGGCAGAAGGTGGCATGGCCCAGAAGTCCTGAGGGCTGGGAGTATCTGGCAGTCTTCATGAAGAGGGTGTCTCAACCAGGCCTCAAAGGACAGTAAGATTTAGGCAGAAGTGCAGCCCAGGCAGGGGCGCGCATGAGCACGGGCGCAGTACAGCTAAGGGCAGAGTTGGAGAGCACACCTGGGCAGGACTGCAGTCTCCAGGGACATTCAGTCTGACTCCTGGGCAAGCGGGACTGCGCTTCCCCCAGGGGCAGCATCTTTGTCACTCAGGGTCTAACTCCCAATCCCCACTCCATAGTGGTGACATGCTAGGGAACCTCAAGCTCCCAGGCCAGGCCCCTCCACATCTTCTGCCACCCCTATCTACACTTTATTAAACACACACCTCCTGGAGAGGGTGGAATGAGCAGAGGCTTCTTGAGCAATGGCTGTGCCCCAGCCACATTCACCTACCGTGGCCTCATCCACGGGTGACATCCCCATACCCAACCCCCCACCTCCTGGCACACAGAATTGGGAATTCCAGTCCACGGCTGAGGGCCCAGAGCCCAGGGTGGTTATCCGAGTTGCTGGGGGTCCCCTAGCTGGCCAAAGGATCTTTCAACCAAACCACATTGCCCTCTGCACCCTGCACCCCATCCCCAGAAACATGCTTCTCCAGCTCCTGAGACCCTGGGCCCACCCACTGCCCAGGCAGCTCCCTTCCTTCCGTCTTGATCACCTTCATCCCACATGGTTCAGCCTCTGAGGCCTCTCACCTTAGTCCTACCCCTGCAACCCCACCTTGTCTCCTCTTCCTTCCACTAAGGATGGAGCTGTAGCCCCTCATCCAGGTCCCCTCATCCCCTCATCTCCCTCGTTCCCCTCTCCACCCACCACTCTAAATCCCCAGCTCTGACCCCTCTCTTAAGCTCAGGGCCTTTTCCACCTGCTTGCCAAACAGGGACAACTAGGCCCACCCCCAGGAGTCCCACGGAGCCCTCCTCTCCTGTCTGCTCCTCTCTCTTGCACTGCCCAGCCACTCCTCCCTGCTCCTCAGGCCTGAACACTCTGCCTGCCTCAGCCTGCTCAGAGTCGGCCCCAAACCAGAGCTCCTGGGATGCCCACAGCCCTGCTCCAGCACCCTCGGAGGCTCCCCCAGCACACAGGACACAGCCCAAGCATCTCAGCATGGCATTTTGCACACCCAAGCCCCCACTCTTGGATTTCCAAGCTCATTTCCTACTGCTCCTCAGGTGGCCAAACTCAACCCATTTTCTGTCTTTGAGCTTTGGCTCTTGAGGTTCCTTCTACCTAGTACACCCGCTCCCCCAACCCCCCTACTCCTCCAGGGGCCTGCCCAAATTCATCACTGTGAAGAAGATAGTTGCCAGCACATAGGTCCCATAAATGCTTCTTGAGGAAAAGAATCCCAATCCCCAAGTTCAACTGGCACCTCCTCCGGTATGGCTGCCTGGACTGCTCCCACTGGAGGCAACCATCCTCTATCTGGTGGAGCTATCTCCAGGACCTGATTGCAAACTGAAGGTCTGCTCTTGGTCTCCTGGACTCGGGAGCCAGGCTCCTTCAATCTGAGAACACACCTTGCTGGCTTTGGTGCCCCAGCTCCAGAAGACCTCTTTGATGATGAGTGAGGCAGGGCTGAGCGCTGGGGTGGCCCATCTGTGGGGCGCTCCTCCAGTCATTGGGGGTAGGTAAGGTGATGCCAGCACAGATGGCGGGCGGCTCTGGGATGAGTCAGGAGGGAAATCTGACACTCCCCACGGGCAGGCAGGGACCTGAAAGGTGGTATCAGCCTGAGCAGGCGGTGGGGACAAATGGGAGGAGTGGAAAAGGGGCCCCAGGCCAGGATGCAAGCAAGCAGACGGCCACCAGTGAATATGACAAACGGTGTTTAATTTTCCATAATGTGCAGCTTCTGTGTGTAAAAGGCCCATTAATACTCCATGAGCCGTACATTCTGGTGACACAGCAGCCAGCCCCTCCCCCTGCCCCTCTGAGAGGCACGGCGCAGGGCAGGGAGCAGGTGCTGTGAGAACGTGGTCCTGGTGTGCTTACCAGGAACACACGCATGTTAGCGCCAAGTGTCACGGGGGGGACATGGCATTTACACAGGAGAGAACCACGGACACACTTGTGAGGAGAAGACATGAGGGTACAGGAGACAGTGGATCAGGGAAGGATAGCCACGATGTCCACACATGGCAGTAAACACAAGAAATGTGAGTGGACAGGTGAGAGCCACTCGGTGACAGGCTCGGGGCTCCTACAAGCAGAAGAGGCTGAGGAACGGGATACCTCGTGTGCCCCAGTGGAAGGACAGACCTGAGCCTGTCCTGTGAGAACTTGGGTGTGCAAACCTGTGCACAGGTGAGAGAACTTAGATTCCAGGGTATGCATTTAAGAAGAGGACGCAGACACACACACAAGACCCACGAGTGGGAACATGGAGATGCAGAGGGACAGACGGGAAGGCCCACAGCAGCAAGTACAGGAGCGCTGGGAGCTCTGCCCCATGGGCTCCCCCAAGCTCGGCAGAGCCAGTGACAAACTCGGGCCCCATGTCTGAGAGTCCAAGGGTCTAGGAAGGCTCAGGATGGGGAGAGCCCGTTCCACCACAGACAGCATCCCGGCTGGCTAGTGGCTTCAGAAGTGCAGAGGAAGCCACAGGCATGGGGTGGGACGCTCAGGCCTCACTGCTGCCGCAGCCTCTGCTGCTGCCACACTCCACCCACACGAGGCGGGCCTGCTCCTGCAGGATGCGGCCGCGCACCACCTTAGCCAGCTCCTCCGCGTGGCCCCACTCGTGGGCAGGCACCTGCACCCAGGAGCACGGCAGCCCCCAGAGCACCTGCTCCGAGCTGCGGCACTGTCGCAGCAGCTCCGAGTCCCGCCAGCCCGGCCGACCCAGCAGACCCCTGCCAAGAGATGAGGGAGGCAGCCATCAGAGTGGGGGACCAAGATGGACAGAGAGACAGAGGGAGATAGACAGAGATACGAAGTGTCAGAGAGAGAAGACTGGCAGAGACAGACGGCAACAAAGAGATGACAGAGAGAGACCTGAGGGCCCTGCCCACTTCCCCCACCCCCCTCACCTGACTTCACGGACATTCTTCTCGGTCACCTCCACGTGGATGACGATGGGATAGATCTCATTCTGGACCAGCTCCCGCACGCCACGCACACCCAGCTCCAACAGGCAGTGCTTCTTCTCGGAGGACCAAGGCCACATCATACCCCAGCCCAGAGACACCAACCTCCCCATGCTCTGCCCCCACCCTCGGTCCCATGTCACAGCCTCCCACAGGTGCAAGTCCTGATTTGCCACCCAGAGGGACCCTGGCAGCAAGGAAAGAACCTATAAGGGGTGACGGGAGACCTGGGCTCGGTGGGTGACCTGGAGAAATGTCACTTCCCCCCTCTGGCCCTCAGCCTCGCCGTCTGGAGGATAGATCTAAATCCACCCTGCCCACCACCCACCACCCAACAGCCCCCAGCAAATTCCCAAGAGAGTGGCAAGTTCAAGGACAAGGATGTATAGGTAAGACGTATGAGCCAAACAGCTCAAGGATGACCCACATGGTATGCCCCAACCCACCCATATCACAGCTGAGGAAACCGAGGGCCACATGAGCAAAAGGACTTGCCCAAGGTCATCCTGCAAGTGAGCAGCAGAACAAGGCCTGCATTCACACTCTGGCTCACAGGCCCAGAATGGCAGCACCCCTCTCCAGCCTAGCCCCCCACCAGCACCTACCTTCCCAACAGACTCCTGGATAGCACGGATCCTGCTGCCCAGTCCAGGGGTGGCAGGCCGGGCCTTGGGGGCTCCGGGTGCTGAGGATGCACACTGTTCCTCCCCAGAGAGGCTTTCTGCAGAGGGAGAGGGAGAAGAGGCAGAGACGAAGGGCCAGTGAGCCTGGCTGCCCCAGAATGCCACCAAGCCCTCCCCTCCCCAGGAGTACAGGCTCACCTGCTGGGCACACTTGGAAGTCCAGCCGGGAGCTGGGCAGGTCTAGCAGGTTGCGAATGAGCCGAGGCGCCAGGCACTCAGGCAACAGCACCACGGGCCGCAGGGCAGACACCAGCAGTGGCCGCACCAGGCTGTAGGGTTTGAGGCTCCGCTCTGGCTCTGCGGTAGGGGAGGGGTGCAGAAGGGATGAGGGTGCAGGTAGGGTCCCAGATCCTCTTTCTTAGGGCAGCCAGCCCCTTTGATACTCAAAAACATCACCCTCTCCCCTGCACCCCCAACCCGGCCTTTTCCTGCTGCTTCTGCGTGCGGCACACACACACACACACGTGCACGTGTATGCACTCACTCTCTCTCTCTCTCTCTCTCTCTCTCTCTCTCTGCAGGGCTGCACCCCGCCCCCCCTTGCTGGGACTATTACAGTTAGGCTACTCCCTGATCCTCTGCCTCACCCCTGCCCCCTACAGGTCATTCTCCGCCCAGCAGCCAGAGAGAGGTTTTAAAACTAAAGTCAGATCGTTTAACCCCCCTGTTTTCAACACACCAGTGACCTTCACAGGTGTTCAGGAAAAAGGCCACATCCTCCACTGGATGACATAGTCCTGCTTGAGAGCCTGGGAGGTTGGCAGGCACAGACCCCACTCCTGCCTTGGCTCTCCCTTCAGCTGCCTCCAATCACAGGGCCTCTGCATGCCCTGGGACCACCTAAAGCCCCACGCCTGCACCTCTCAGCCCAGTTAACCCGCACTCTCCCCTCAGAGCCCAGATCACAACTTTCCTGGGCCCCAGACGGGCAGCGCCCGTGGCCTGTGCTCACGGCACCCAGTTCTCCACTGCTCACCTCTCACTCTCTAATTATGCCCAAGGTGTGATAGCATCCGCCTCCCCCACCAGATAGCGAGCTGCCTGAGGGCAGGCCCTGTGTGTGCCCGACACAGTGCCTGGCAGAGGTGGCGTTCAGTACTCACTTGCTGAACCCAGCATCCTCCAAACACACCACACACAGCCATGGCTCTGTGCCTTCATTAGCGCTATGCTTTCTGCCTGGAACAAACTGCTTTTCATCACTGAAAGCCCCACTTGAAACCATCTCTCTTCCAGGAAGTCTTCCCCAAGCCCCCCTCTCCCTTGCTCCCCAGAATAACTACTCCCTCCTCTGGGCTCCCCGAGTCTCTTCTCCCTGATCTTCCCTAAGGCCTCACCCTGCCACCTCCAGGAGCCCCCTCTGGGGTCCTCTCAGCACCTGCTTCCACACACGTGGGAGCACAGCCACACACGCTCTGCCAGACAAGAATAGGCCTGCGCTCATGCGTGCCCCCAAACTCATATGCACCCACAGTCACAGTCCTGCACACATGTACCTTCCCCCAGGGTCTCCCCCAACCTTGGCAGCCCATCCTCCCACCAGGGGGAGCTTTGTCTCTCAGGCCCTGGCATGGGCCCTGCCCTCCACTGGAACCCTCACAACAGGCCCTTCCAGGCCAAAGGGACCACCAATGCCACAGGACACCCAGATGTGCACACCCCTGTACACTGTGAACAATGCGGGATACACCTTTACACCTGCACACCCACCTGAGCAGGGCTCCAGCAGCAGCTGCTCCGGGGAGTCCCCTGCAGGACCCCCCACCGGCTTGGGCCTCACCAGCCGCAGTTGGTCCAGGGCTCGCTTCTTTAGCTGGGGAGGGTGTAAGAAAGCAGAGCACCTGAGAACTCAGCTCCACCCGCACCCCACCCCAGGGAGAGGAGAGCAAACAAGACCCAGGCAGGGTGGGCCCCATCCTTGTCCATGTTCCCCGGCAGACCCTGGGCCAGCACGAGATGCCCCTCCCCACCAGGCCCTCTCCTGCCCCTGCCTGGCTCAGCACAGCCCCCCAGGCAGGCGAGAGCAGCCATTCCTATGGGCCCAGGGACCCAAGCCCACCTGAGCCAGTTAGAGGAGCCTTAGGTCTACCTCCGACTTTACAAATGGCAGACAGGCCCAGAGACCAGAGAAACCTAATATCACGTAAGAGACAAACTTTGGGGTTTCTTCCAGTGAATTAGCAACATAGCCTTGGGTAAGATTACTGAAACCAGTAAAAAAAAGCACTAATTATACCTGACAGATATCAAATGCCCACAATATGGCAGACACTAACTAAGCCTCTGATGAGCATTAACTCACTGAAGCCATGTACTGGCAGGTAGTATCACTACACCCATTTTACAGATAAGGACACACAGCCTGGCATGGGCCCTGTAAGTAAGGTTCAAGTGAGTGTCCAAAGTCACCTGGCTGATAAGTAGCAGAGCTGGAATTCCAAGCTCGACAGTCTGGCTCCAGAGCCCAGGCTCTCAGTCCCCTCTCTAGTGACATGGCCTCTTCATTTGCTTAACCTCTCTGAGCCTCACTTGCCTGTGTGCACAGTGGGGATAGTCACCCAGCCCAGCCATTACCCAGGGACTGGAGAAGGCAATGCGACTGCTGTTTTGTCGGGTGCTTACTACGTGCCAAGCATACTCCTGAGCATCGGGCACATTCTACTTTATTTATCTCTCAACTACCCTGGACAGTGGAGCACATAGTAGAGGATCAATTAAGTCCCGGTGAAGGAGTGAGGTGGGGGGCCTCCTCTTCTCTTCCCCCAGGGCTGACAGAGAATGAACTCTGCCCTCTCCCTTCTGGACCCCGCCCTTGGCATCCCCCTCTCCCCAGGCCCTCTCCCTGCCTGCCCAGCCCTACTTACATTACTGCGGGGGCCTCGGTGTCGGCTGGAGGGCAGGCATTTTTCCTGAACTCCTAGGAGCTGCTGGGCTCTGTGGGAGAGAGTCGTGTCATGCGTTTGCAGGGAGAAGGGGTGCCCCTCCTCTTCTCAAACCCAAATCCTGTCCCAGAGGATGGTGAGGGATTGCAGGAGAAAGGAGAGAGCCACCATCCCAGTCCACACTCCCCGTGGGACCCTGTCCCCAGGCTCCTGGCTCTGCATCACCTCTGAAAATTGGGCACGGTGCCCCGGTCCAGGTCCCGCAGAGTGAGGGGGTCAACCCGGGTGCAGAACCATTCCTGCCGCCGCTTGTATGCTGGGTCCACCAGCCGCAGGATCTCTTGGGCTTTCACGCAAAGGGCATGAGGATCTGCCCGCTCGGGCAGGGTGAGGTTGGCTCGAATGTAGAAGGGCTCAGTGCCCAGCCCCTTTGCCCAGGTGTCTAGGGCCTCATGGAAGGAGTGGCAGGCTGGGCACAGATGGGGCAAGGGGCAGCAGGGAGGGCAAGAGGAGGACAGTGAGGCCAGAATCAGCCTCGGTGGGGCCACAGACAGCCCTCTCGAGGCCTGAGCTGCCAGGACTCCACTGTTCCCTTCTTACAGTGACAGATGTAGGTCCAGAGGGGCAGAGACTTGCCCAAGTCCACCAAGCCCAATAGGGGCAGAACCAGGACTCAAACCCAGGACTTTGGACTTCTAACGCAGTGGTCTATTCACTGTAAGCTGCTGAGCAGGAGAGGACAGAAAGGAAACAAAAACAGACAAGAGGCGGAGGCAGCAGCAGGGCCAGGGGTCAGGAGATGAATGATGGGGCAAGGCCGTCTCCTTCCCAGGCCCTTGATTCTCCCACCCACACACAGGCTGGAGGAGCCCTCACTTGCCCTGACCCTGACCTCCTAGGATTCATGAGTTCCCAGCCCCTCCACCAGGCCAGACTTACCACTAGAGTCCATCAGGAAGTGCAGTGTGGTTCTCTGCTGGGCCTCGGCTTCCAGGCATGCCCCCTCCAGGCCAGCAGCTTCCACCCTAGGCTGGGAGAGAATGTGGGCAGGGAGGGAAAGAAGTGAGCTTCCCAGGAAGGACAACATGCCCTGGGGCTCGAGGAAGACCAGTGAAGGGGTGACTATGCCTCATCACTCAGATGCCCGCACCTCACAGGCTACGTGCCCTGCCCAGCCCAGTCAGACCCTGCTCTTGCCCACTCGTCCCCAACCAGCCTCCCTCCTCCCTGGTCTTGGGATCTGTCAAGGTGCTGTCAGTCTGTCCCACCCCCAGTCCATGCCCAGTCAGACTTCATTTAACACTGGCTGAGGCGGGGCAACCTGCAGCTAATCACAGAGCCTATTTCTCCTTTGGCCAATCCCCAGAAGCTCCGCCCAGTGGTCTTGCTCCACCAGTCAGAAGGTGCCCCACCCTGGCCGAAGCACTGACTCCACCTCCCAGCTCAGCGGGAGGGGTCTCACCTCTCGTGGTTCCATCCTGGCTGACCCAGGACCAGACAACACCCTCCGCACCACGGCCCCTGACCATCCGTCCCCAAGGAATGACAGGCCATCTGGGCTCTTGTCCTGGGGCTCTGGGCCCCCTGGGGGACTCCAGCCAGACACTTGGATGGCCAAAGACCTGAGAAGGGAGAAAGAAAGCAGCTGGAAATTAGACTCCAATCAGGACTTTGATTCAGTTCCACATTCCTGGGGAACCACAGTGATTCCATTCACCAAGTATGCCATGACTCCCACCCCCAGGCCATCAAGTGTGATGTGCCCTCTGCCTATAATGCCCATCCCCCCTTCTCCACCTGAAAAATGCTGCTCTTCCTTCAAAGCTCAAGAAAAAAGCGGCCCCTCCCTCCCAGTACCCTGGGCGCATCGTGCGGTGGAGTTTGGGGCAGGAGCACCCCAACCACACCTGCCACGGTTTTGCATTTTCCCTTTTGTTTCATGTTCAGCTCTGTATCCCAAGCACCAAACCAGTTTCTGGCACACAGCAGATGACTAATAAATGTTTGCTATGCTCACAGTCTAGGGATGGAGGTCGCCGTGAGAACACAGCACAGGTCAGAAGATGGTTACAGCTGGCAGTGGGAGCACAGAGGGGAGGGGCTTCCCAGGGGAAGAGATCCCTGGGCTACACCTTAGTGATAGGTAGAAACACTGGTGACAGATAGAGGGGATGGCACTCCAGGCTGAAGGAGGGGCATGAGGAAAGCCACAAAGGACAGAATACCGGATGTGGGGATGCATTTAATAACAACATAAACAGTAGCAGTAGACGATGGGTGCTTCCCACATGCCAGACACCATGCTAAGCTCCCTGCCTTTATTAATTTCACACCCTGGGAAATGGCTCCCAGAGCCAGCCTGTGGAGGGCACAGCATGAAAGCATCTGGCCTTCCTCCCATGAGCAGTGGGCGCCACTGATGGTTACAGCAAAGTCGTAAGGACCCCCACGTGGCAGGGTTCCACCTGTCCCCAGATGGGAAGTAGTGAGGCCCTGTGGCCAGGCTCAGAGTCAAACTGACCCCAAGTCCCCTCCATGACCCCCTGGCCATGGAGAGGTGGTAAGGCCAGGGTCTGCAGGTGTGGCCCAGCTGGAGAGGCAGCCCTGGCCATGACAGGCCTCCCCATGCACCCTCGCAGCTGAATACAGATATGGCCACACTGCCCCCTGCTGCCAGCCTGGGGTGGTGGAGTCTGCAAGGACCTCAACCCAATCAGCGCCCCTGGGGAGCAGAAAGCTTTGGCCCCAGGGAGCCTGTCTCAGCCCCTGCTCTCTCAGTCAGAACCAAGAGCCAGGCTGAGGGGCTAGGGCAGCCCCAACTGTCCTGGCTGCATCAAGGTGGCGTGGAAGGGCCTGGGCACGTCGGGAGCCCTGAGACCTGGCCTGGGTATACTGGCCAGTGGCTGTGTGGCTGGAGCAACACAGTGGGGCTCTAAAGCCCAGGGTAAATGGTGACCTCGACTTGGACAAATGAGCCGGCTGTTTGTCTCAGTCACTGTATCCATAAAATGAGGCAGCCCTTTCCCACTGAGGGTGTGAGGGTCAGGGGAGCACACAGACAGTGCAGGTTGATGAAACCACAGGGCTCTGGCGCTCTCCCTGCCCTACCCCTCCTCCCCCATGACGCTCCTCCACTGTCTCCCTGCCCCGCCATCTGTCCGTCCATCCTCCATCCTGCCCCAGCACCCCACTGTCACTATCCATCATCCCCTGCCCAGTCCCCAGGCACTGAGAAGGGCAGGAGCACCACAGTCACCCCCCCCCCCCCCGGG